CTGTGGGGGAGCGCCCAGGCACGGTCCGCCCGGAGGCCCAGGGGCAACGCTGGGGGGGGACAGGCTGCAGTCGGGCATGTCCCTCTACACATTGCTCATTTTCAATGATTCGAGAGTTGTTTGTTTTTTAGGGGGGGAGCCAAGATCCTTTTGTTTCTAATCGTTCTATCCTGGGCCTCTTCCTGGCCACTAGGGGGCCAGGAAGAATTAGTAACGCTGGGGGGGATAGGCTGCAGTCGGGCATGTCCCTCTACACATTGCCCATTTTCAATTATTCGAGAGTTGTTTGCTTTTTGGGGGAGCCAAGATCCTTTTGTTTCTAATCGTTCTATCCTGGGCCTCTTCCTGGCCACCAGGGGGCCAGGGAGAATCAGAACCGAGCACGATTAGAAATGAGCACGATTAGAAATGAACGGCGTGCTGTGCTCTTTTGATCTGGCTTGGTTATGTCTTGACAAGTGTGAGTTGTTTGTCGGAACTCCGCCTCCAGGAGGACAAGCCCGACTAAAAAAAGATCGGCTCAGGGTGGACTGCATCTTGGCGAAACGATGCCGATGCTGCTTCCCTTCCCTCGTCGCCACGGCTGGATTCGCCTCGAACTCTTGGTCAGAACGCGCCACGGGAGGGGTCCAGGGAGTGATTAGCGGTATCGGTATCTTCTCACCCTCTATCATCGGCCTTCAACGCCAACCCATCGCCGATTCAGGCTTGATAGCCCACTCCGCCCAGCCGAGGAATACACGGTGTCGCAATCGGGCGCCTATGGCCGATGTAACGGCGACGCATCGCCGACTTCAGCTCGATGTTCCCCCTCTGAGCGGATCTCCCCCTCCATCGTTCTCCCTTCAGAGGCTCGATGTCTCGCCAAAGTCTGGCGCCGCTCTGGCGTCTCTGCTGCACAGGCTCATCGGATGCGTCCTCGACCCGAAGGTCGCCGCAGCAGAGGATGCTGCGGCGCAGGTGGAAGGGCGATCCGATGGCGTGGCCGACGTTGGTCGCCTAGTGGACGCCTGCGAGAGCAGCCTGGCGGTTGAAGATCCAGTTGAGCGAGATGCCGTGGCGGTTGCGACGGTGGTCTTGGACCGTGTCTTCGCCAAGTCCTCCTGGCAGGGGGATTGCACTGTTCTGTCCTTTGACCGGCTCGTGCGCATCTTCCACCGGTCCTTCATCGCGCACATGCAGGGCTCCTCGAGAAACCTGCAGCGGTGGCGCGAGATGAGGGAGGGAGCGGGGCTCCCCGCGATCGAGGAGCACTGCCGGCTGCTGAGCCCAGCCTCCCGAGGCGCGCTGCTGGCGCTCCGGCTGGTGCCAGAGGACTCGACCCCAGTCCAGGTGAACGCTGGAAGAAAACGGGGTCCACTGCGCCTGCATTCGCGCGTAAGCTTCCCGCGTGAGGCCGCGCATGAGCGCCCTCCTCTCCGCGCGGTGGTGCCACTCCGGCGGCAACGCCGCGTCGCAGCGCAAGGTCGCTGCGTCCTATCGCGCATGACCCGTCTGTTTGTTCGTCGCCGAGGTGGTTCTCTCGCGGGAGAGCGCCCTCACCGACTTCTCGCAGCAGCTGCCCGACCTGGCGCAGCCTTGCGTGCTCCAGCCCTACTTCGAGTCGGCCTCGGGCACCAAGGTTCGACTGGGGGATCGACTGCAGAATCGATTTGCCCCGACACCGCTTTCCACGCCAACCCTTGGACAGAAACACGTCAACCATTCGTAGATCTGCGAGAGTTCTACGCATTGCCCGTGGATTCGACAAGAAAAATCAATTCTGGGGCAAATCAAAATTCTGCAGCCGATCCCCTACTCGCAAGGTGATCCGCGGCCGCCGCGTGGAGGGCGGCGAGGGCCACGGCCCGCGCAAGGAGTTCTTCGTGGGCGTCTCGGCGGACGCGTGCAGGCCTAGCCGGGCCTGTCCCTCTGCAGGAGGAATTTCAACAGTAGTCCAAAAATAGTCTGGGGGTGATGTTTTGAACATTTTTGGACTAGTTATTTGTTTTGAACATTGTTTGATTCTTTTTTAGTTCAATAGTCCAAAAATAGTCTGGGGGTGATGTTTTGAACATTTTTGGACTATTTGTTTGAACATTGTTTGATCCTTTCTTAGTTTCAATGGTCCAAAATTAGTCTGGGGGTGATGTTTGGAACATTTTTGGGCTATTTGTTTGAACATTGTTTGATTCTTGTTAAAGTTTCAATAGTCCAAAAATAGTCTGGGGGTGATGTTTTGAACATTTTTGGACTATTTGTTTGAACACTGCTTGGTTCCTTTGTTTAGTTTCAATAGTCCAAAAATAGTCTGGGGGTGATGTTTTGAACATTTTTGGACTATTTGTTTGAACACTGCTTGGTTCCTTTGTTTAGTTCCAATAGTCCAGAAATAGTCTGGGGGTGATGTTTTGAACATTTTTGGGCTATCTGTTTGAACACTGTTTGATTCTTTTTTTAGTTTTCCTCCAGAGTCTGCCTGCAGGGGGACGCGCCCGACCGAAGTGCAGGCGGTGGGGCCCGCCCGTGGCCGCGCCGGCGCCCTCTCCTGCGGCGCCGCCGGAGGCGGCGCCCGTGGCGGGCGCCACCTGCAGTGGCAGCCGGATGCCGGAGGAGGAAAATTCGGAGGTTGATAGACCTTCCGAAGGCGAAAACCCACCCCCACCCCCAGTCCCGACGCCCACCCAGATGGTCTGGTACCGGAAATTTTCGGTAGCGATTTCGACGCACCCCGAATTTCGGAAGCGACCGGATCTTCGTTTGAGGGCGTTGAAATAGCGGATTTCAGAACGCTCTGATACCGGTATTGGGCGCTACATTTCGGTATTTCGGTAGCGACCGATCTCTGCGGAGCGCTACCAGAAATTTTCGGTAGCGGACCATCAGGGCACCCCCAGTCCCGACTCCATCCCCGAGCCGGCGATTCAGGGGGCCGGGATTGGGGGTGGGGGTGGGTTTTCTCCATTCCTGGACCCCGAAAACCCGCCCCCACCCCCAGTCCCGACTCCTGGAATCGCGGGTTCGGGGATGGAGTCGGGACTGGGGGTGGGGGGGGGTTTTCGCCTCCTCAGACCTCTTACACTGACACGTCGATGAGTGGATTGGCCGTTTTCGGTTCGCGAGTGGGCGTCGCGGCCGTCATTTTTGCAGGTCCAGGTCCGTCGGTCTCGGTCCCTGGCCGTTCTCACTATATGGAGGTTTCTCGCAGCTTATGGGACGGGGGTCACTGCAAACGGGGGTCAGCCAGGGCACCGGGTCCTGCAGGATCCTGCGAGGATCCCCTCTGGCCGACCCGGGTTCGCGAGCCGCTCGTGGCCGCGAGGCGGCCGCGCATATTGGCTGACCCAGGTTTGCGAAGCCCTGCGTTGCAGTTTTTGTTCAGCGTTGCGGTTTGTTCGTTTCCTGCTGACACGGGTCTGATTCACCCGGGGTTACCAGATCCCCGAACTTCGGATCCGCCGTATATTCCTCGGGCGATTGCGCAGGTGGGTCGACTAGACGTAAGAGTGACCTTTCGCCCGAGTGACCTGTGGTGCGGGCCCCACGGGGTCCTCCGATCGCCGAATGCGATGCGATAGTGGCGTCTTGCGCGCCTGGGTTTGCCCCACCCGCGGTGCCCCCAAAGCCACTCTTACCAAGGGTCACTCTTGCGTGTAGTCGAGTGGGGCGGAGGTGTCCGTGCTGCTTGCCCAGCTCCGTCGGAGGCGATTTCCGCCCCGCGTTGCCGTCGCCGCTTCCGCCACGCCCTCGCGGAAGGATCCACCTGCCTTTTCCTGGGAGGCGGAGGGTTCCGCCACGTCTGCCCGCACCGTTCGGGGCGCATTCCCGACACGATGCCAAGTCAGAGTGTCGGCCAAAGTATACGTCGGATCCGATGCCGGGAGGTCACCGATACCTCTCGGGGAAAAAACACGCTGTGGAACACGCGCACGCACGCACGCACGCACGCACGCACGCACGCACGCACGCACGCACGCACGCACGCACGCACGCACGCACGCACGCACGCACACACACACACACACACACACACACACACACACACGCACACACACAACACACAACAAGCAACGCACAACAC